GTGTAAGCCAAGATCGGCTAATTAGAGACTTTCCAGGTCATGTTGTAGATCAGGGTACAGACCACCCTGGTACACGTGCCCTCTTCTTTAAAAGCATTGTTCTTGATTCATGACTGTGTGTTTACTTAAAGATGGTTGTGCTAATGTTGTAACTACATGTTGAGTTACACTAGGAAAAGTGCAATTTTTTAATGTTCTTAGTAATTAAATCCCGCAGTAATCAAACCGTTTTGAGTTTCCAGCTGTCATACAGTTACAGGGCATGGGGAATTTACTTTTCTTTTCTTGAATATATATTAGCTTAAAAGGTAATTTGCAGTTTGAGAACTGGCTTGTTTGGTAAGGCAATAATGATTTGCCTTCTACCACACTTAGAAATATCGTGTTACCTATCTCAGAAGCCAGGCAGAATCTTTAAGCGGGCCATACACTGGTAGATTCTCATGCGAATAATCATATAATAAATCAAAACATTTAACAATGCAGATCTGACACGTGATAATTGTCATTCACAATCTTGTTTGGTTTTAACTTTTGATTTTGGAAAAGAATGGAGTTTATAGCAGGAAAATCACTTTCACTGTTAGAACATTCAAGACAACAAATTATTTTCTGACTATTTTCCATCCCGCTCATATGGTTCTTTTCAGCCCTGAAGTCAACTATTAGAAAATCAAATGAACATTCCAAAATTTCAAACAAATTTCTGCTGGTGTATGGGCAGCTTTTAGGTCTCTTCAAAAAGCCCCAAATCCCAGGTTGCTTTATTTACTTTCTGAGTTCAAGGAACCCTGTACTGGGAAAATATGTAGGCTGTTGTTGCCTTAGAAAATAGCCTGGCTATAATGTTATTACACAGGTTTTAATGCTTTCTGAGTCACTCACCAGGAGTGGATCACTGACTTCACTAATGGCAAGCTTGTTCCAGGTCAGTGGCTAAAAGTGTTGAGGTTAGAGACAGCCAGACAACCAGCTGTTTCAGTCGGAGGTGAGCAATGGCAGCCTCCATGTTTCCTCATAGTGCCAATATTGAGGGGGCAGGAGAAAGGGCATATTGCAAACTGAGGTTGGTATCTGCATTATAGTTCAGCCGCGGTTTGGTTATTCCCAGGTACTGCTAAAGATCACTAAATATATGTGAAGGACTCCAGAATTTACTAGCTTGTGGTTTAGTACAAATTTTTTTTATTTAATCTTGTATTTAATCATTTTTAACAGAAGTGTTAAAAATGTATCTTGATGGATATTAGTAGAGTATTGTACCGTGTTGGCCATCGATTAAGGTGGAAGGTTTAAGTGATAACTTTTATTACCTAAGTAACACCCATTCACACAGCATATCGGAAAATAACTCTTAAAAATATATTTCTTACCTTTTCGATATTTCTTTGGTGAAGGTCTTTGTGCAATTTCCAGGCTATTCTGAGCAGTTTTAAAATAAAAGTAGAGGGACGAACTGAGGGACTGAGCTTCTTCTCATTAACATTCAATACTTCTAAGTCTTTAACCCTTTGTTAGGACAGACATTCTTCAAATCTACTTTACAACTGATAATGAGCTCTGCCAGCACAGTGCAGACCAGGTTAATTAGCAAACTTAACTCCCACAGCCCCCTCCCTAACATTACATGGGAGGGAGTTAGGTTTGTATTTTTAAGCATGTAGAATGCACTTGGAAATGTAAGCAGCAAATTATGCTATATGAATGAGAACATAGAACAGACATGTAGTACGTGTTCTCCCAATCTGGCTGCAAAAGTGGCCTAGCATAATCTAAAACATACTTCTCTATTGCTTTTTTTGGTTTGATTATTATCAATGTGGGAGAACAGATAGTACACATTTTCAGGACTTCATTGGCAAAATGTGAAGTCACAGGGTCATACAGGAGCGGAGCTTTGAAAGTGTCCATAGCATTTTTCTGGTTCAGAGCTTCTCAACTATGCCTTTCTTGGCAGGAATGGCCACACATAGGCTTCAAGCTTTACATTCCTGTAGCTGTCATTGGCTTCATTGGCCATTCTGATGTCATACAAGGTGTTTTGTATTTTTTTTATAATCTGCTTAATGTGTGCAGTAATTTTAAAGCTGAACTCCGGGCTGGAGAAAAAATAACTCTTGTAGTGCAGAGGGACCCAACTGCAAGGGTTACTTTTTGTCCAGCCCAGAGTTCAGCTCTAAAATGACTGCACATGTTAATCTGATTATAAAGAAATACTCACCTTGTCCAGGAAAGGGCAGGAATAAGGTGCAATAGTCACATTATTGCTCGCTCCACAGGCTTCCTCCTCTTCATCAGGCTCATTCTCTTCTCTTTGCTGCCCAACTGGTTGCAGCTCTCAGATATCGTTATGTACAATGCAGGATGCCGAGGGCCCACCCACATCTTATGAGCATCAGAGAACATCAGGGAAACAAGACTTTAGGTCAGCAATTCACCTTATTCATCAACTAGAAGAAATTAGTATTTATCCCTTGCTGTGCAGTGGGGGCTCCACTGAAAGGGTTACTTTTTACAGCTTTGACTATAGTACGTAGTGGCATCCTTTTTTTTTATTTTTTAAATAAATATTGATAAATTCCAGTAGACCACAGATTGTGTTTTCTCTCTCCAGTTGCTGATCCCAGCAGCTGACATTCACACCCGGCAATCTATATGTTGACCTACATTCCTCTTTATGTGGAGTTCAGTCTTCGTTTTTCTAAATGTGACAGATGTGTTTTCAATCCATACACCCAACTTCCCATGCCTGTGCTCGCATGTATAAGCTGCGATTCCCAGAATGAGTGAGACCATTGTAATCCAGTGTATATTGGCCTGGATGGGGGCCAGGTATTCACCAGTGTTTTGTCTCTATTCTTCCCCCCCAGCAGACAGTGCCGGTGGAGGGGAGAGCTCTGAAAGTGGTGCCCTATAGTACAGACTAGTGTAAAGGTGCCTGTCGGGAGCAGCAATTTCAAACACTGACTTGTTGAGATAAATACAACCAACACGTTGACCTACTTTAATTACAGTGAGGGAGCAGTTAATCGGCAGTTCAGGACCCAACACCATACAAATGTGTCTGTGCCCACCCCTCGTTTCTATCAAGTTGATAGATTGCGCAGCTTACGTCTTTTGCACTATGGGAGACATGTTTTTTCCTGCTTAATACCTGCCTAGTTTTCCATATTGGAGTGCAGGAACTAAGACTGAGATCCCTCCATATGTGTATGGCAGTCACAAGCATGCATATTCTATATGAAGGTTATATTTAGGGTTGGGTAGATGGAAGAGTAAATACTTCTGTACAACCTTCTATTGCTGCTTGTTAGGAACATTTTGCTCACTTTCTCTTCCTGTCGCCATAACCAAGTAATGAGAGGACTGGTTGTCACCAAGTGAGGTGGAAACACGGCTGTACAGTAACCAGCTGCAATAACCTGGCAAGGGTTCTAACCCTTACTCATAATATTGAAAAAGTTTTGTTGCAGTCCATGTCCTTCTGGAGATTTTTTTCTAGAATTTCTTGTCCCAACAGGAAGTTGGGGGAACTCCGATCCAATCGGGTCAATGACCACAGTATAAATCTAACGGGTACTACTTTTTTTTTTTTTTCTTTTCATACTCTGGTATTTATTTACTGTGTTAGTCACTGTTTGTAATTACTATGTATACGAGGCACTGCTGAACATCGTGAGGTACAGAGGGGAATTGGTGTCCTAATAGTTCTCTTATGTTAAGATAGTTAGCGGTCTTCCCTGGAAAAATTAGATTTAGGCACAGGTAACGTCATTGTGTCCATACAGCTTACAGGACAGCCCAGTGGCTTAGTGCCACTTCAGCCTTGCAGCACTATGGCCCCATTGGCTCCTCCTTGGAGTTTGCATGTTCTCCCTGTGCTTGTGTGAGTTTCCTCCGGGTACTCTTCTTTCCTCCCACGCTCCAAAGACATGCTTAAAGGTTATTTGGCTGCTGTGTAAAATTGGCCCTAGGATGATATTCTACTGAGCACACCCAAGGTGCCTGTCTAGTGATCTGCCAACAACATCAGATAAAATGCTTTGAGTGCCCATAGAGAAAAGTATTATTGAAGTGTAAATGAATAATAAAAAAAATAAAGAAAAATAGACATTGGCTGTCTTAGTTGAGGGACAACGAAGACTGCCAAATGAGGCACATGCTTATGGCAAGTACAGCATGGACACTGCTCCCAAAGGAAGACTTGGCACTGCTGGGGAGATGACCTAAAGCTGAACTCCATTTAGATGAGCGCCCTTTTATCCAGTTATCTAATTAGAAAAAATGAAATGGTAACATATTCCATATTCTTCCAGTAGAATAATGTAAAATGTACCCTCATATTTGCTTCCCATGGTGCCATGAACTTTTGACCATAGAATTTGGCCTCTGTTACCTTGCACAGTTCTGTAAATCTAACATTGCTACCTTGCTTGGAGAGGATGAGCACTGGAATGTCATCACTGTGCAGATACTCTCTGATCATTCAACCTTTCTTGGAGGGGATGAACCCTGGAATGTCATCACTGTGCAGATACTCTCTGATCATTCAACCTTTCTTGGAGGGGATGAACCCTGGAATGTCATCACTGTGCAGATACTCTCTGATCATTCAACCTTTCTTGGAGGGGATGAACCCTGGAATGTCATCACTGTGCAGGTACTCTCTGATCATTCAACCTTGCTTGGAGGGGATTAGCACTGGAATGTCATCAGTGTGCAGGTACTCTCTCATCATCCGATCATCAAGTGGGTGACCAATATGTATTGCCTGTCTAATATTGAAAAGTGAGGTCACCCTCCTCAATGTGTAGTACAGTGGGGAAATGTTAGTCAAGTGTGACTGATCAGAATTACAAATATTCCAGGAGCAAACACAGTTGGCTTCTATGTATAAACTATTTAGCTGTCTGGCTGAAGTTTATCTTAAACGGTAAGCTAGCACAGTCTGTAATGGGTCAGAAATCACGTTGGTAACCCTGTTTTTTTTTTCCCTCCAGGTCTCTTCCTAATTCTTGGCTTAATTCTGTACCCTGCTGGTTGGGGATCACCCAAGGTTGTTGGTTACTGTGGACATTATGCTTCAGCATACAAGCTTGGAGAATGCTCCTTAGGCTGGGCTTTCTACACAGCCATCGGAGGAACCGTCCTCACCTTTATCTGTGCAGTATTCTCTGCACAGGCTGAAATCGCCACCTCCAGCGACAAAGTTCAGGAAGAAATAGAAGAAGGAAAGAACCTCATCTGCTTACTTTAACGAGCAGCAATGTGCTGCCCATCGCAAAAACTTCTTAAAGGGATCGACTTGTTTACGTGGCCTACAGCGCACATTCGTGGACTAATGATCATATTATGCCATGCTGCCTTTTGTCTTCCTGTGTGAGAAGATTGTAGGTGGGACCTAAAGACAAGATGGTGGTGCACAGCACACAGAGGTGCAGCCGTATTGACTTGTGTACAGTATTTGCTCAATAGAAGCATTCCCGGTTCTACAAGTCACTTTAAAACTGATCTTTTTTCCGGTTCTACAAATCACTTTAAAACTGACCCCCCCCCCTGAATCATAGTATAGAGACAACAGTGTAGTTCTCTCTATTGTTTTTTGTCAACTTTTTAATTTTGTGTGCGTGCGTGTATTTTTCATTTCCTGTAGCCACTGCAAATCTCTGCGTACCACTACTATTGATCGAACGTTTCAGGTAACTGGAAATTCTGTGCTAGCGTTCTCTCATGTGGTGCCAATGAATGTCTAGGATTAGAGGTAATTTTAGGTTTGTAAAGAACCACTGCAATAAATATGAAAGGAATCCTTTTGTACTCTGACATGGTCTTAGCCAGGGGTATTTAGTGCATGATAGATTGTTACCACTGTGATACAAGAGCAGGATGTCACTGCAAAACATATGCCACACTTTTCTGGCGGTATGGTCGCATTAGAAAGGGCCGCGCTTAAAAACAGCCTTGCAATCGTTCCGATTCGTGTGACGCATTCAGGTACTTCTTAATTTGGACAGACTTTCCCGACATGTTCAAATTGATTAAGAAATACCGCCAGTTAGGAGTTAAGCAAAGTGTTGGTAAATAAGGCCCATTTCATTTTAGAGTAAGCAAGGTCCTCTTGCAGAACAGAACTCCACCCCCCACCCGTGATACTGTGATAAGGTTGCCAGGCCGCACATTATCTTTGGTTGCTAGGATGCTGTCGGCTGCACAGCATCTTTGGTTGCTAAGGTGCTGTCTGCCGCACAGTGTCTTTGGTTGCTAGGACACTGTCTGCCATGCAGTATCTCTGGTTGCTAGGATGCTGTTGGCCACACAGCATCATAACCACCAATGACATTGTACAACCTGGGGACTGAACATGCAGTTTGGACAGTGTCTGCTATGGACACTGTGTCTGCAGGGTTGTTTTCTTATGAGCGTCAATGACGCTCTTTATGAATTTCAGCGTTTACTTCAAAAAGAGGGGGCCAAAGAGGCAAAATGTGCCTTTTTAAAGTGTACCTGTTAGCTGCCCACCTGTTCAACCTGTGTGTGCGCTGAGGGTTCAATTTATATCAGAATAATTGAAGCGTGTGGAATAAATCCTTCTGTGTGTCTGATATCAAGGCAATCAGCTTCTCTTTTTATTATAGAAGATTAGAAATGCAAAGGAAAGCTCTGGCTGCTGTTGACGACATAGACTGTTCTTCTGTCAAACAAAGCAAATCATTCAGTTTGGTGATGTCAGATCTGTTGAAAGTGAACCTGTAATTAATTTCAAACTTGTAAAAGTCCAACCGAAACGCAAACACCACAATATACCTCGTGTTCTCTTCATTACCCAGAAGAGGTACTTTGTGCCCCTCTCGGATTTCATTTACCTGTTGTACTGAAAGTTTCTGCAACTTCGTGGCTAAAACCTGCCAACTGCCATCCAACTGTCCATTGGATTTGCCGCTGTTGCTAGTAAGGGAATTTATCAAAACTGGAGCAGTTGCTCATGGCAACCAATCAGCTTCTCTCTTCAGTTTGCTCAGTTGAGATTTGAAAATGAGAGATGGAAGCCGATTGGTTGCAGTGCAAATCTGCTCCAGATTTTGTCTGCTTTAAGATTAATAATTCTAGGGTAACTTTAAGCTGGCCATACATCAGTAGAATTTCACTTGATTTTCTAATAGTTAATGGGGTCAAATCAACGCTCGTTTGCGACTGCAGTGACAAAAAAAAAAAAAAATCAAAGGACCAGATAGAAAATTGATGTCGCAAATGTTTGCTTTTGGGGGGTTTTTTTGGTCGTAAAATTCCATTAATTTCCAAAATCGAATGTTAAAATTAAACCACATTTTTGAGCAACAGTCTTGAAGTCTCTGATGGTGACTGCAGAGATTTTTGGGATGAATGTTCATATGAAAATCTACCATGGCATGGCCAGCTTTACACTTCCCAATGAAAGCATAATCTCTGGACTTCTCTGAATTGTAGTCCTGTTGGTGCCAAGATTATACAGTCTATGAGAGCCTTGTGTATGGTCCCAGCAGGAAAGATAATCGCCTAGGGTTACCAACCATTTAGAGCCGCTAGCTTAAACACAGTGCAGCCACTTGCTGTCCCCTACATGTGCTTCCGCAAAGCTCACTGTGAGCCTGCTCATAGCTGCAGCAGCTGCTGACCACGTGGCTGGGAGTGGTCAGGAAGAGGCTGCTGCACTTTTTTGGGCTTGTACTTTGTCCTCTGCAAGGCATGCAGCATCTATTCATTTGTTCCTGTGGCACATACAGCCTGAGGAGAACGATGCACATAGGACAAGTATAGGTTCTATAGTAACGGAGCAGTTCCCTTCGTCCTTCTCATCCAGCCTGCACACTCTGCCGTCCAACCTTGTGCCTTCTTTATGTTCTGTAGTAGCAGTAGGTGGCACCATCTGGGGGTACACTGGCTCTGCCTGGCACTGGTGCTCCTCAGACACTGTTATGCTGTGGTAATTTAAGATTGAATATTCAAGCATACAAAAGACACAAATGAATGTATATAAAATGTAAGCTATGGCAATAGCACAATGCGCATCCCTGGGCGCGCACACTAATTCATTTCTATGTTGGCTGCCGGGTCCCATAAAAGCACAAATTGTGCTTCTCTTTGTATTTCTGGACCAAATTTTTGGTGCTCGGTATTTACAGCAGTTCTGCTATCCCTATTTCATGTCCATGACCGAGGTTGTTGGGGGTTTCGTGCATAATGTATCTTTGTTTTTATAGACCTAATCATTGTAAAATGCAGTTCCAGTCTTTTCTGTGTTCTTAGGCTCTTTGTCACCGGTGTGAATAGCCACCTTTTGTCTGGCACAATGGTTTCCTGCAGGTAGTAATTATGACTGTCAGTATTCTCCTTTGTACAGATAAAAGACCATAATCATATGGTTATCAGTGGAGATCTGAGAAGCGGGTACAGGAAGGCAGGGCCTCTACTACTGTCTCAGGTTATGCCCAGCAGCAGTGGGCGGCCAGCCCCACCTACTACAGGGCAAGAGAAAGCATCTTCTGCAAGGCTGTGTATGAGATGCAGCAAGGATTCAGTCACAGGGCTGACCTCATTGCATCTTTTATTGTAATCTGGGTTTGAGTTTAGCTCAGACGTCTTTTATGTTTAAAAAGCATGTCAGTACACATTGACCATGCACATTGCCCATGTTTTATCCCTTTAAGGTCCCTGCAAGTGATCTGCCAGAAATGCACTCCGCTAAGCCTCGTGGACTAACAATGCAGTTGTCTTTTGCTAAACTTCTTAACCACTTCCACTGTGAGATCTCCATAACATAAAGGCTAATCATCTTGTAGTCCAAGATGGAGCCCTGTGAGGGCTGTTTGAGGTAGCGCAGGTAGGGTGCTCAGTACAGATCTATATGACAAGATCAACGGGTTTTATTGCACTTATCAAACCACTGTAACAGAATGATTTCAATGGTAGACCAACAGACCAATAATGGAGCAAATAAGAGGATTTAAATACATTTTAAGCTGAGCGCATCTGGCAGTGTCCATTGTTGTTTCATTCACTAGATAGGTTTCAGAAGTTGTATGACCATCAATGTGTCCTGTGAACACAACACCACCATTGTGCAGGGCTGGATGTGGCCAACAATCAATCTACTATTCTCAGCTCATCATTGGCCTTCCTTGTGGATCTGCTGAGTACAATGTCATTGTTGGGTGCCCCCAGCAGACTAAGCATATTGTACTGTGGGCCTGCTTTATGAGAAGTGGACATGTGGCCCATACCATGAGTTATGCAGAGCAGACATTCTGAATAGCTAGTTATGAACAATGACACTTAAATGAGACCTTTTCCCCATTCTCCATGAGAAATGGATTGAAGGCGAGAGATCAAATATTCCTGCCTGCACAATGGAGTCTCTAAGTGTATTTGTTACAAAGGACATCCCTTTAGTTTCACTGATATGTTCTCATCTTGCCCTGTTTCCCTCCATTCTCCAAATAAATACACATAGCCGTGGTGTCTTCGGGTCTGTTGCCACTTTTGCCTTTTGAACTACATTGATGCAGAAGCTGAAACCCTGAGGGAAGTCCTGTACCATTTTAGGAACATCTAATGGGTTTTGTACATAATTTAATTATTTATTATGGTCAGGACTAAACAATTTTTTTTTTTTAATAACCTTTTTTTAGTCAAGCAAATATAAAAACCTTGCACATTGATGTTTTCCATTCTTCTTTTGAGCCAGCAGGCATTTTCACATATTTACAGGCTCCCATTAGATCTTCTGTTGAAAAAAATACTTGTTTATAGAGATCGGCATTTTAAGCTGAAATTTACACACACACAAGCGGATGAATCCTTCCTTACTGGATAGCTCAGGCCAGAGTTTGTTGGTACAAGGAAGTCTTAAAGCAGGCAGCCATTGTTGTGCTGTTTTGTTGGCTAACCCATAGGGCTTTGGGAACCCTTTTATGTATGGTCTGTTTGTAAAACAAAGTGTGCATGTAAAAACTGATATCAAACAATGTTTAAAGGAAAACGAAAATAAACTCAACGCCAGTTTCCGTTTTAAAAAATACAATAGCACAAATGAGCCCTCAGAAGCCCAATAACTGGTGAACCTCCAAAACCCCAGTCTGGATCCTTTTCTAGATTTGTTATTGATCTGCTGCTCTAGTCCTAAGCTGCCCATATGTATGTCTATTTTCAGGCAATTTTAACAATTTTCAGCCAGCTTTAAAAATACAGCTGAATGAAACCATGCAATCTGCCACCGATATTTTAGATCACTGTCAACAATTTATCTGTTTGGTCTTATTTCAGTTGGAGTGGTTGAAATGATTGCGTGTGGGGCCAGCATTTGTAAGGATGTGTAAGCTCACCATTTTGAAACCCTGTGGAAACCCTTCTGTAAGTCTGGGAACCCGTTACCATTATGATTCATTACTCTTGAAGAACTTGGATGTGAAAGCCAAAATGTCATTTGATCCTCTGCTTCTATCCACCTCCAATATGTCCAGCAGAACTCTGTGTATGTCA